ACATGTATATGTATATACACACACACACATATATATATATATATATATATATATAAGGGAAAAATAAATTGATGACTGACTCATGTTGACGTGATGGGGATGGAATCACTGTGACTGTGTGATTCCCATGAAGAGATGACACATCTGTAGCGATCTATATGGGGAATGTCCCTTTTCTTTTTTCAGTGAACATAGAGATAAATAAGGATTTCCCATTCGCCTCTAATTTCAAGTCAACACTAGGCTTCTGCGTTCCCATGGGGAACGTTTTATACTGCAGGAAAACAAAGATGCTGCATTTGAGAGGCAGTGATGGGAGCATGAAGAATAGAGAGAGCAGTTAACTCTCCTCCCCTCCCCCTTCCTGTGTTTCGTCAACCCCTGTTCTCCCTACTTCAGTGTTTGATGTCACCAATGAGCTAACGAATCGTAGCACTTGGACTTCCCAGTTTTTCCTCCCAAGCTCCTCCTCTTTCCTTAAGCCTTTATATATATATCCCCCCCTCACTACGTTCTGCAGAGTGTACAATGTGCTACCAGAGAGCCGGCAGACAGTGTACAGAGAAACAGCAAGAGAGGGAGGCAGAGAAGAGGAAAGTGTGAGTGGATTTCAGCTGATTTTAGAAGATTTCATCGGACATGCTCAATCCATACCTGCTCAAGTCGTTTCTTTGGTCTCATACAGACCTCCTTCTCCTTTCTCTCCCTTTTTCCGCCTCCGTTTGTCTCGTTCTGTCTCTCCAGGCCAGAGCTACCTACAAGTAGGATCCCAGAAGCCAACGCTGCTGATCCTGTCAGGATACACCAGCCCACACGGTCAGGATGGGCTGTACAACAGGCCATTTGGCTTGCCAACCACAGCCGCAGACCAACTTGGGGCAGGAGGGTCAATCGCTAGAGACTGGTGGGGCCAAAGTGCCCGAGGTGCTCTCCTCTCTGGAGCGTCTATCTCAGGCTACTGGAGGAATGGAGAAGTCCTGGTACCGCTGCATCTTTCCATTTGGAATCATCTCTTTAGTTATCGGTGTAGCAGGAACAGGAGTGACCTACACTTATAATGACCTGCCTCAGACTAAAGTGGTGTCAGTTGTGCTACTCGTCATGGGTATTTTGCTGTTAATGATGGCAACTGCTTGTTGGACTGTCCACAAGAAGAAGAGAAGGAAAAAGAAAGAGGGGGGCTCATTCACGTCTGAGCAGTGTCCCCTGTGAGTGAACACAGGGGTATGATAGAGGAACTTGAAAGCAGAGACATGCCTAGAACTGGGAGCTCAAGGTTTGGCCAGAAATTCTTCACTTAACCTCCCAATGCAACATCCCTCCATTCTCCGAAGTTACAAAGTTGAGCTCAAATCATGTTGGAGATAGCTTGGGTCAAGAAATCAGAGTCAAAGGACAGATAAACATGACGCCGAAGATCTGTTTAGTCTGTGAGGTCTGCATCAGATTTTTTTGGATTGGCAATGAGAGATCACCAGTGCCTCACACGCTCTTTTATCATCAGACAGCAGGTGTCCGGTGTCAAAACAACCTCAGAGGAGATGTGCAAAATATGCATTGGACACTGCATGCATATTTACACACACTAACAGGCCTTTGATGACTTACGCACGAGCAGTTACAGCAGGAGCTCACACAGACACCTAACACGCTATGCAGAGCTGCTGCTGGAGTCAGTGCTGGCGTCACTAGGCACGTCAGTCACAGCATTCCTCGTATCAGGACAGGTGACTCTCCAAGAGGCCACAAACGGGCCAAAGACGGCAACCTGATACCCGGCCGAAAAAGCAACGCACCCACGTCAGCGGCCAACGTCATTCACTCGTCCTGTGACACTACAGCAATGTGTTGGGGGCTTTTTTTGCGCAATGAGAGATTGGAACTTGAGTCCTGCTGGATCTTACTGGCATCTGTGTGGACGATCAGTTGGAGAGGGTAGAGGACCTGCTGGAGGAGTGCAAAGTGTTTGTGTGTGCTCAAATTAAGATCCAGGTCAACTGAGAGACTTTTGGAATTTTGTCCTCACAACGAAGGAAAAAGAGATTTGCACATATGGCCATGTCCATGGCAAACAAGAAAACATTTTAAGTAAAGCGACATACCCTGAAAGGCCTTTTGTAGCTTCAGCTTCACATTATAAAGGACTGGGGACCTAATTATGACTGACTTGATTGCCTTTCTTTTCAATAAGTGAGCATTTACACTCAGCCCTATGTCTTTGTGGGACACCTCAACTCCACACAAAGGAGTCCAGGATTATTGAAGGACACTGCCCTATGGGACATGCCACGGCAGGGACACTTTGACTGATCCTGCTCCCCTAGGGCCCCTCCCATTTGGTGCCTTGAGCAACCACTCATGGAAAAAAGCTCTGCCACATTCCCCCACTCCAAGAGTTACCCCCCTTTGCTTTCTCTCTTTACCCAACAGGACTCTTCAAATCTGCTTCTCATTGTACATCGCCAGCTTCTGACTTAATCACACTCATTTCCCATTGTTGTATAGCCCAGGAGGTGTGTGGACAGACTTATTACACTCAAATTAAGACACACACTTACACGACAGCCTCACAGTCCGCAGACATTCATGCAGTCTTTATCTATCTGTGCCAAAGGAATTGGTTGTTTTAATTTTTTCCCCCAGCTGTGGAAAAAATGTTGATTAAAAGTGAGTCGCAAAATCCTGAGTGAAAATAGGATACAAGGCTGTTCTCTAGTGAAAATTGAGTACTGTGTA